AACACATGCTGAATTGAGTGCTGTGCCTGCCTGTGATGAGGAGATTGTGAATAAAGAATGAATATTAGTCGAATTTAAAATAAACATTTGCATTTGAATGTTAGGTGTGCATCAGGGAGTGTCATGCGGTGAGTAATGTAAGTGACGTTGTTGCATTTTTGTTAGTCTAGCCCACGAGACGCGCCGCTGCTGCATTATTCATTCAAAATATTAGAGAAATATAGTAGCTCAATGCGGAGAAGATCTTGATTAGGTTAAAACCGAAACCAAGCCATTCACACAGAACTCATATTCAGCGCATTTTTTAGACAGACAAATATGACTGCTGCACTCGCGTCTCACAGAAGAGATGTATAGAAAGCCATGCAAAGTTAAAACAGTTTAAACGTTTAGAAAACACGTCACGAATTTGTGGAGGTTTATTCCTTTTCACTGCATCTCATATGTTTTTAAATGCAATCTGTGTGAATGGCGCTTCGGTTCTTTGGATTAAGCAATGCATAAATACATGATGCTTTTTTGTTCATAATTGTTTATGCAATTTACGAAATTATATTTATTATTATGAGTTAATTTAGATGTAATGCACGTTTTTTTATAGAGTTACTTTACTTCCTTGCTTCGACAATTTAAATGCGCTACATTATTTTGCTCATTGCGCCCTCGGGAGACAAGACAAAAGTTTCCTTAAGACCTATTTAATCTGCATATCAAACATTAGAAATTAGATATAAAATTTTTATTTTGTGTTTGATTGTTAAAACAAAAAATATTTGTTGTTTGTCTCAATAAATTGGGTTAATTTAAAAATACAGTGGTTAAATTTAAACTTTTTTTTTATTGCTCTGTTATAAAAAAGGTTATAAAAAATGTCACTAACTATCGATACCGAACGATATGAAACATTATATCGTTGATCCATTTTTTTGCTCACTTTTTACTATTTTTGAATCTGCTCAAAAAGATGTGCCCTCTTTAGATTTTTTTTTTTTTTTTGGAAAAAGGGATACGCTTGTGTACATTTCTTTATGCAGTAACATAGCAAAATAGCAAATATATCTCCACTATCCACTCTTCAAGTTTTAGATTGAGCAATTAATGCTAAAAGCATTTATTAAGCCTATCCACTTCCAATCTCACATGCTTTATGCCTGAATCCATTAGTAATACAAAGACAGGATTCCAAGGTAAAGTAGATTATAGACCACTTGACCGGCCCTAACCACCTCTTGTTCACATTGATTACAAGTATAATGTCGGCATCTGTCCCTCCCCCCATGTTTCCCATGATGCTTCAGATCATTGCTCAGTCAGACACCTCAATTAGCATGCCTGCTTCACAAACGAGCACAGAGTGGTGGATCTCAGCGGGGAGGCACCCGACATGCTTACTAATATACCGAATGAGAGACAGTCGAGTGCCTATGACACCGCTTTCCACGGCACTGCCATGGATACTGTAACTATAGCAATGATCACATACACAAGTGAACAATACATGGGCTGTTTCAGTATTTTCACGACACTAAGGTATAATTCTGCTTCCTACTATGCGTGAGTGTTAACCAGGTAGTTACTGATGCTAGCTGATTAACCACATGTGTGCAGTACCCGGACACCCGGATTTAGGTCTGCCAAATGCACCAATTAGCTTTACTCATTAAAAATAGATATCCTAAATAATGATCCTGACAAATCATGGCCTGTAACTGTACAAAGTACTCTTAAAAGCAAATGCTACTGCATTGTTTTCAAGGTGAGCACATGCTTTGCCATCCATGTATGGAGCGAGACGGACCCATAAAAATACAAGAATGAATCCAAAAGCAGCTCGTCAGCAAATATGAGAGGGTTTGTGGAACTTTGGCATGTGTATATGGACCGAGCTGTCGATCTTGACTGTATGTGCACCAAAAGCAACAGAGCAAAATAAACCATGCAAAGTTTTCACCATGCAAAGGCACTGCTTCAATTCCACTGGCAGACATCCTGTCTGGAAATAATCCCACCGCCCTATAAATACTGTTCATAACAACCAGAGCAGACTGAACTCAAGCTACAGTCTTTAACAGCTGTCCCGTGTGGAGTAGTTTACAGGCACCTGTTCAACAGGAGTGGAAAATTGACTGGGGGGAAAGAACTCAAACTACCAACATGGGCAGGAGAGTTTGTTTTTTTTTGCAAAAAAACAAAAACAAAACATCAGAATTTTTACTGACACAGCTGCTGGAAATGTTAGTTATCATTATAGTTTCACAAGTGTTGACAATCTTTTTCATTTAAATTTAATGCATGAATATCAATGCTTCAAGTTTGCAACAAACTAGTCTGGAAAAACAAAGCATTAAATAAAAATTCACCCCATCTATTTTCTAAATGCATCTTTTTGTGTTAAAAAAATCACCAATGCCTGTTTCT